GCGCCAGACACATTTTAAATTCGTTAGTGGGCGATTGTGGGCGTTAGAGGGGGCGTGGCGCTCGGCTGAAATAAACTTGCCCTGCATAGGAAGCCCAAGAATATGTGTGGAAAATCTCAAACTTCTAGCTTTTGTAGTTTCCGAGATCTCAGCGTATTTAAGTTTATTAATCAAAAATCCTTTATAGTTTGGTGAGCTGCCCTTCCACTTTGTCCGCTCGCGGCGCTTCAAGGATCTCTTCGAGCATGTGCTCTTCAACTACGACTGGCTGCACGCCAAGCTCTCCAGCTGCCCGCTGCAGGCGGTGCTGGCCGATTTCGAGGATGCCTCCAGCAACACCGACGACAAGGAGGCCAAGCGAGAGCTGATGCTTGTGTCGGATGCCCTGCGTCTGGGTGGCGCCATCCTGGCCATCTACCCGAATATGCTGGCCCCCCAGTTGGTCGGACGACTTCTGCCCGAGATTGGGGGAAATCCCAACATCAAGATGCTTTTGAGGGCCTGCGATCGCAGTGGGCCGAAGGACTGCGCCCTCATTCCGGTTAATCATTGCCTGCACACTCCAGGAGGACCTCTCAAGGTGGGAGTTGCATTGTGATAACCTTGAACTTTAGTAATACCAACTCTTAATCCCTAGTACTCCCTGGAGGGTCACCAGTTCGCTGTCTTCGCCTTCTGCCTGACCAGCGACATGCGCTACATGGTCTCCATCTCCACGCACTTCATCACCTTCGACCTATCCACTTCGGATCTCACGCGTGACGTGAATCCCGGCATCGAGGGCATTATGCAGCAATTGGTTCTCAGTCCCGACAACAAGTGGGCCGCCGCCTACTCGAACAACAACCAGACGGTTCTGCTCAACATGCTGTCCAGTGAGTTCGTGGTGATCAACAGTCCCTTCGAGGAGTCCCACGGTCCAGTCAGCGGCCTCTATCTGCTCAATCAAAAGTGAGTTCGGCCTGGGCTCATCATAAGAACAAGTAGCTCATCCTTTTCGCTTTCAGTTTGTTCATCACCTGCAAGCTGCGGTGGGCTCAGTTCGATATGCGCGGCAATCTGGTGGATACCTTTGAAGTGCCTGGTGAAAATGACAGTTGGGAGATTCTGAGTGAGTATGATTTATAAAAATGTAATCAGATCGGGGTCACCTTAGTTTGAAAGAGATTATACTAGAATCAAGTATATTCTAAAGTGGTAATCACTCTGTATATTTAGCCATGGAGCTCTATAAATCTGCGTTGTATCATGTCATATTCTGATTTTAGAAAGATGTAATCGGGGTCACCTTAAGTTTAAAGGGATCATATTAAAATCAAGTATATGCTGAAGTGTTAATTACTTTGTATATTTTTTTGAGCTCTACACATCTAGGGATTATAATGTCCTATTCTGATTTTCTAAAGATATATTCAGATCGGGGTCACCTTAGACTTAAAGAGATCACATAATATCAAGTCTATGGATTAACCATTACCATTCTTCTTCTATAATAAGCTCTTTATATTTCCGGAATACAATGTCCTATTTTGAATTTCTAAAGATGTCATCAGATCGGGGTCACCTTAGATTTAAAGAGATCACATAATAACAAGTCTAAGGATTAACCATTAGCATTCCTTTATGTAAAGTTATTTATATTTCCAGATTACAATGACCTATATAGATTTTCTAAAGATGAAATGAAATCGGGGTCACCTAAGATTTCAAGAGGTCATAGAATATTAAGTATACGTATTAACCACTACCACTACTCTTCATTCAGCCATGGAGTTCTTCACATCGGCGGATTACAATGTGGTTTTCTGGTCGGGCTCCATCAACGACATGCGCCTGCGGCTGGACTCGTGTCGCGGTGGCCACTACTCCAACGCCCAACGGCTCTACAGCGCCATGGTCATGAACAAGGCAAGGACCCGGGCCTACGGCTGTGCCAACGAGGAGAACTACGAGGTGTCCGTGTTCGACTTTGTGGAGGATGAGGCCACCGGGGAGATCTGCTGGACTTTGGTGGAGAGCCTGCCGCGCTACGAGAACGACGACAAGGAGATGCTGCTGCAGTTGCGCCTCGATCAGCACGATCGCATGCTCCTGGGCACGGCGGGCAAGGGCTTTGTGATCTGGGACTTTGGCAGCAAGGACAAGGATTCGTCGGAGGAGTCCCGCCTAAGGGAGGGTGCACTGTACCTGCCACTGCCTCACGGGGTGCGAAACATTACCACGCGCATCATGCAGTCCAACTCGATCATGGTTAGCTCTAAACTAGATTACGCCGTGGCCGGAGTCCGCAAGAACCTGTACGTGTGGTGCCTCCTCTCCGGCCAGCTGGCCAAGGTCCTGGACGCCCACTTCGGGCGCATCATCCAGCTGGAGCCGCTGACCATCGGCAACTGGAACAACCTGGTCACCTCCTCCATCGATCGATCCGTCAAGGTGTGGAACATCAACAACATCTTCGAGAAGGTCCACGTCATCGATCGACATGAGCTGCAAATCGACGACATCAGTCTGTCCGAGGTGGACATGGCGGTCACGGTCACCCGCAGTTGTGTGGGCGTTTGGGAGACGCGATCCGGTCGCCTTCTGGCCAAGCTGGCCGACAGTCCCTTGGGCGCCATCGTCACCCATGCCGAAATCACTCCGGATGGCCGCTACATCATCTCTTCGGAGACGGGAAAGTTTCTCGTCTGGAATCGCGTGTCCGAGCAGGTTGTCTTCCGGGATGACCAGCCTGGTATTCAGCAAATCACCCTTATGGATTATGGGTACAAAGTGCTCACGGTCTCGGTGCCCAACATCAATCAGCGGGATATCCTTGCGGCGGCAGCTGGAGGATCGGCGGATGAAGCCAACAGGCTTACGGCCATAACAACTATGCGTTCCGTTCCAGGTGAGTTACTTTTAGGTAGAGATTTTGTATTAAAAATTGCATTTTTATACCCGTTACTCGTAGAGTAAAAGGGTATATTGTATTCGTGCAAAAGAATGTATATATATAATTGATCAGGGTCACTAGTCGAGTCGATCTAGTCATGTCCGTCCGTCCGTCTGTCCGTCCGTCCGTATGAACGCTGAGATCTCGGAAACTACAAAAGCTAGAAGGTTGAGATTTCCCACACATATTCTTTGGCTTCCTACGCAGCGCAAGTTTATTTCAGCCGAGCGCCACGCCCCCTCTAATGCCCACAAACGATTTGAAAATGTGTCTTTAAAGATTTTGGAAAAGTAAAGCAGATTTATTGTGTTTATTAATACCTATCGAAATGTAGAACAAAATTTTTAATCGGACCATTCGTTATAAAGCTATGCCCGATCAAAGCTTTAATTTAATTTTAATTTTGGTTTTAAAATTTTTCCTAAGGGAAAAAAAACCAAAAAAAAAAAAAACAAAAACTTCTATGGACCAAAATTTTTTCGTTGTTTTTCAAATGAAGTTTTTTTATGCCTAACGATACGGTACAAAAAGTACTTATAAATTAAAGCGCTAGTCACAAGCTTTACTTCTCTCTTATTAAATTTAAATTTAACCAACTTACTGGAATACTATTTTGCAGAGGGTGCCATCCTGTTCCGTTTCGACTTCCCCATCCGGATGATCACCGGGATGCCCTTCCGGCAGTCGGTCATCACAGCCGACAATGCCTACATCGTCGTGGTCACGGTGGACAAGTCCAACAAGGATTGCCTGGGCGTCTACAGCGCCACGAACGGGGCCTTCGTCTCCAAGATTCTGCTGAAGGGCTGCTCCATCAAGGAGGTCATCTCGCTGGTGCCGATGCCGCACAAGGCCAACCAGGTGGCGGTGATCAGCAGCGAGAAGGGCAGCGTGATGGACATCAAGACGAAGAAGCACGTGCGCTCCATTGCCAAGTGGGGCGGGAGCATCACTAGGGATGGTAAATGTGGGTTATATGCTCCTACACGAGGGGGTCTGGAAATGTTGGAGCTGCGCAAGGGCACCACGGTCAAGACCTTCATACCCAAGGTGGCCGAGGGCGTCTTCTCGGTGATCTGCATCTTCACGGAGAACGACGAATATGTGGCCTACTATCACAGCGGCCGGAAGACCATTCGGGTGTTCCGCACCGTGGACACCGAAATGATAGCCAACTACCGGCTGCAGGCGGAGCTAACGGCGATCAAGAGCAGCAAGGATGGACGCGCCATCGTCCTGGGCACCGTGGACGGCTGCATGTCCGTGCTGGCCATTGTGGACCCGAAGAAGGAGGAGATGAACGAGTACCTCAACGATTTGCCCTCCCGCGACGAGAACTGGAAGGCAAAGCTGGCCAAGATGAAGGCTCGGGTGGGATTCAAGGCCGCCATTCGGGTGGCCACCATCTCGTCGCGCTACGCAAAGACCACCAAGGGCGGCGAGGATGGCGAGGAGGAGCTGCTCACGGAGATCACCGAGGACGTGGTGGTGCCAGTGGCCGACTAGCTTCTTGGTTAGTTGATTGATTTATAAATATAACATTTATTTTCGCATATAGTTCATGGGGATGTTACAAAAATACGCGGCGTGTCTACTGTGTGTGTGTTGTTATCCTGCGTGTCCTGCGTGCTTGCGGCATAGAAATCAGTGTGTTGTTTGTGTGTGTGGATAAAACTGAATGGGTCTTAAACTAAACAATGGTTAGGGGGTAACTGCTATTTGGTAAAAACTACGGTTAGCTAATACGAGTATAAATTAGAGTTTTTAGCGCGCACTGAGCCCAACGCTTGGCTTGAAACAATTTGAGGCGTGTTGAGAGTGTGTTAAAAACATAACCAGACATAATAATAATAACAAGAATCGATCCTAGTGGGCGAAGCGCGAGGCACAAACCTTTAACATGCTACTACTGCTTTCACTGATAATTTAAACAAAATAGCGCGTAGGCATATAATAAACTAACAAGCTGTCGTAAACGGATAGTAGAACTCGCCACTTCGATCTCAATCTCAACTCAGCCAATCGAATCTAATTGAATCGCATACGGAACACAACTCAGTGCTAATACAAAGACCGATCTCAGTTGTTATTAGTTAAAGTACAATATATAGTTGAAGGAGACATAGTAATAGTGTGATCTGTTAATTATTGTTACTGTTGTTAACCTGCTGCTGCTTCCGACACTCACTGCTGCTCCTGTTACTACACATTATTACCGTGGATATATATATGTGCCGATTCGTAAGCATAAAACTATGTTAAATAATAAATGATCCATGTAGTTTACGAGAACTGGCTCGTTCAGTGTGTTTTGTTTTGTTTTGAGTGTCTCTCTTTTGCTGTATAATTCTTTATAGCTGCCGCCGATTATATAGCTAATGTTTCTTCAGCTACAGGAAGCGCACAGCTTATTGGGCATGATTCTCCTTCTTAATCTGGGCCAGCTTTGCCTGGAGATGCTGCAAGCGATTGGGCGACATGTCGCGCTTCTGGAAGAAATAAATTGATTAAATGAGGCTACGCTTTTATCGCTTATTCAACTCACATCACGCTTGATGAGCGACGCCTTCTGTGCGTTCATCCCGTTCAGGCAGAGATTCTCGTCGGCCACCTTGTTGTCCAGCATGTGCGATCCGTCGTCTGCCGAACGGGCGGAGGCCAGTTTACCGGCCACTCCTCCGCCGGAGAGGTGATACTGCAGGCGGTCCATCCAAAAGTCGGCATCGTGACCGCTGTTCTGGTAGTTGGCATCTGTGAGATAAGAACGAGTAGCTGCTGCAGTTCGTCGCAATCAAACACGAATATAAATGCATGTGCGTGCGGTTAGTAGATGAAACAGGGTGTTAGGTGCGGCCCTTACCCGTGCGATTATCCGGCGCCTGTGTGGAGCCGGCGTTCTGGTTGCGCTCGATCTCGGCCAGACCCTCCTCGATGTACTTGTGGAAAGTGGCACTGGAGCCCTGCAGGAAGGTACTCAGATCGATGTCGGGATTTTGTTGCTGCAATGTTGGTTCCTTAGCTCGGCAATCAAATAAATCATATCTCACAAACAAACCTTAAAATCGTATAGCTTCTGCAGACCCTGCTGCTTGGTATCTCTATCCGAGATGAGCTTAAAGATCTGCGATACTGTATCATGAGTTTGGTGCGAAATACGCTTGGAGGCAATCTCCTTGGCTCTCTGCGGGGAGGCACCAATTCCCGCCGCAATGCCATCCTTCTGGAAATTCTAACGAGGAGGCAACGTTTATTATTCATTCGATATAAAGCATTATAATAAAATATTCTAAGAAACCCACCTTAAGGATGCGCAGCAAATACGCGTGCAGCTCCGAGTGTGTGGGAATCTGATTGAGGTGCTGCAGAATGGCATTGCCCTTGACCTTGGCCATGTTGTGCAGAATGGTCTTGATCGTGCGCATTGGCGTATCCGACGGTCTGTTCTGCCACCAGGTGCTGGGCAGAGCCAGCATAAACTCGTGCACCTCCAGAATGACGGCGTCGTAGTTCAGCTCGTTGCTGCGCTCGGCCATCATCTTTACGTTGCGCCAGATGCACTTCATCAGCAGATCCGTGAACTTGGGCAGCTTGGCCTCCGGACAGGTCTCGCGCAAAAGACGGATTAGAGCACTGCAAGGGATTCAATGTAATTATATAATTTACATAATATATATATGCACTTCACTTACCAGTTTAAATTCGTGAAATCCACCTTGTCCAAGACTTTAAGGCAAATGCCATTGATAACCTTGTTATACTGACTGTCATCGCCCACGGCCAACTTGGGATCGGCCATCAGGTTTAGCAGTGCCGACATGAGATTTTTAATGCAGGCCACGCTCAGCGTTTTGCCCAGAATGTTGGCATGGAAAAATGTATAGAGAATGGAAAGTAGCGGCTGGTAAACGACCACCGACTGAGCCGATGGTATCTGTGAGAGATTCTGCAACGTAAAATCAGTTTGTTTAATATTTCGGATTTTATAATAATAACCTTTAACATACCTTGAATTGTGCCAGCACATTCTGAATGAATATTTCCTCATAGTCGCGCAGCACAGCCTGCTTTTCCGGAGCCTCGATGATGGCGGCCAGCTCGTTGATGGCCGCACGAGCCTTCAAAGTGTCCGTGCTGCTTACGCCCCTGATCACCTTCACCAGCTGCGGATCGTGCTTGGGCAGAACGTCGGCCAAACTGCAGGCGGAGAATTAAGGAGTTAAATATCTAATAATGTAGGATATTTAATTGCAAGACCCACTTTGGTACATTGTTCTCCTGCTGCTGCGGCGGCTGCTGGTGCTGCATTCGCATGGGGCTGCGATAGGGCGAGATTCCACTGGTCATTCCGCCGGTGGACGACGGAGAGGTGGTCAACGTTTGCTGCATGTAATGCTGTCGCGAGACCAGACGATCGAACTTCTCCTGCGGATAAAGAATGCCGGCACGCGTTGGCCTCACTTTAATGGGCTCGTCCAGCGATGAGATGTCCACGTTCAGCAGCGGCTTCTGTTCCATTTGGTCCACGCGGTCCCAGTCTTTTTCGATATCGCTTATTACCTGCGGGTCCAAGCCAAATGGTCCGCTGGGCTTTTGTTGCTGCGCCTGCTGTTGCAGCTGGTGAAGTTGCTGTTGCAGAAGAAGTAGCTGTGCCGAAGGAGCCTGATCGAAAGTTCTGTAGAGTGTGGGAAAAATAAAACGAAACTGTTAGCTCAACTCGGAAAACTTCAATGAACTGGAAACACAGATAAAGCAATGACATTCAACGATGACAACCAAGGCAAAGGGAACTTTACAAACAAACACAGCAGCAAGCAACAAAACAACATAAACAAAGTATAAAGAAAGCCACTTTACGCCTGTCGAGTCAGGGAGTTCAAGTAGGCAACCACATTGGTGGCACTCCGCTCCGTCAGGTTGCTCTGCCCACGCGTATTTAACGCCCGCTGCAAACTAAGTCGATAAAATAAAAATATAAACGAAAATCAACAGAGACCAACCGAAATCGAAATAAACAGAAATATAAATGGTTTATCTACTGGGATATCCGAGGGTGGAAACCACTATACCCCCTTTAAGAACTCAAAAAACAAACTCTGGATCTTTTGACTTTGTTCTTTTGACACGAACATACAAGTTGGACGACAGAATTTAAACATATGACAGCTTTTCTAAATGCTTCTCGTTCAGTATCTTGCGGATCTGTTAGATTTTTGATATCCGAGAACACTCAAGGCCTTGCTCATTACGGCAACAGCAGTTTCCGACCCTCGGCGGTACAGGGCACTCACCAAACTGAGTAGTAAATGAATATTGGTTTGAGAATCAGCCAGCGGCACACTTACCCCTCTTCGTCCGGTGGCGGCAGCTCGTCGCAGCCGTTGCCCACCTCCGCATCCTCGATCTCGATGCTGTCATGCCGCTGAGCTGCCGCCGGCCTGCCCGTGGGCATATCCACAGAGGCCGGAGGCGTCGGCTTCTTCGTCTTCTTGGCCCTCTTGATGCGCTCATCCAGCATGGACAGATCCTTCTCGTTGAGATGCCCGATCATCTTGTAAGTCTTTTCGCCGGACAGGAAGAACACCTGGACGATGCAGTTGAGGGCGGCATTGCGCACGGAATTATCCCGGTCGGAGATCTGGCGAGCAATCTCACGCACCGCCGCCTGGGGGAGCAATGTTCATGCCGTAGGTCTCAATCAAGAAGGATAACTCGTCCAGGCACTCGGTGCGCTGACGGGCATTCTTCGATTTGAGGCCCTCCATCACGTAGGCAAAGACCTTGACAAAGGGGAAGACCAATATAACTTGCCGCAGCACACGACGTACTGCATTTCCGCACGGCATCCTTTGGATCTCCCATCTGCAAGGCAAACAAGGAAGTTTTAGTAATTTTGTATGTCTCCTATGACCAAAAAAAACCAGGGTTCGGAAAATAACACACACTGTAAATTTTTAACATTTAAATAGGTTCAAAAATGTAAATTAACTTGTGTTATTAACATGTTAAATATCAAAGTGTTAAGTTCAACAAGTTATTGACATGTGTGGTAAAAACAGTAAATAACATGTCATTTGTGTGTTATTAAAACGACGTGTTTTTTACACGACGTGTTTTTTACACAGCGTGTTTTTAACACAATGAGTTTTTGACATTTAAGTGACGCTCACAATATATGTAAATGTGTCTATTTTATAAAAAATTTATATGTTTTTGGTTATGGACAATTTTTCCAAATATTTATTAAATTAAAAAATGTGGAGGGGTAAAAAATGCCCAACAAACTTACCTTCAAAAGCAGGTGGGGCACAAAGCAGCTGCCCTCGTTCTCGGCCAGAATGTATTCCTGGTCGATGAGCATCTGGAAGACCTGCGACAGATATTCGAGACCCTTAATCAGCACAGAAGGGTTCGTATCGTAGAAGCGCAGCGTCAACCATTTGAGTATCAGGTCCAGATTGCAAACCAAAGCCTTACTGTTGCCAGGCAGATCTTCGCCCAACTGCTCGATTACTTTCAAGTGGTAGCTGGGGGGGAATTGAAAGGGTTACCTCTGGAATACAGAAATGATAATAAAAGGACCCACCGAAAATCGTCGTGGAACATGTTGGCTATCAGCGCCTTATTCACATTGGCCGCCATCATCTGGTCGCGCAACAAGTCGGTGAACTCCTCTCGCGGCGTCACGAATGTCCACTTGAGCACCTTCATTTTCTGCTCGTCCAGCAGTCGCTGGTTCTTGGAATTGTTTGCAGCCAGCAGCGGTGATGTGTCGACATCCTCGTCCTTCTTGCGCGCAGGTGCCGGCAATTTGTCCTGTCCTCCAGCTGCCCGGGCAGAGGCACTCTTCTGGATTCCTCCGGCCCCGCCACCGCGCACTGTCTTCGCCTTGGGCTCCTCGGGAATCGGCGCCTGCTGCTTGCCCTTGGGCAGCGGCTTCACCGGGAGATTGGGACGCGCCTTCTCCAGGGCCGCCTGTATATCCTTTTTCGAAGCGGGCTTCTGCTTGTCGAGAGCTCGGCTCATGGCGTCGAAACCCAGGTGAATCATGATGCCCAGCACCGCCTCGTTGGCGTTCTTTCGCACATCGGCATTGCGATCGCAGATGTGAGCGTACAGGTGCGGCACCATCGAATGGAGATCCTCCTTGGACACGGATTTGGGTGGAAGGCCAGGCAGCTTGTCCGCCAGCCAAGCCCACAATTCGGTCTTCAGAGCGGGAGAGCCTCCTTTCAGAGCATCGGCAATCATTTCGCTCTCGAAGAACTCCTTGTAGCCGCCCTTTTCGCCAAAGCTATTGATGCAATTGAGAGCGGCAGCCCTTACAAAACTCTTGTTATCGCCCAGGGCGTGCAGGAATCCGGGGAACAGGGTGCGCACATGGTTGCGGCACCCAGCGCCCATGGCCGTGGCCAGCTGCTCGCAAATGGCCAGCGTCGTCTGGGCAATCTTGGCATTGGAATCCACCAGGCGGTGGGCCAAAGCAGGCGCCAAATCGCCGATGCTGGGTTTGATTAGCCGCGCCTCCGAAATGATGGCCTGCAGCTTAGTGAGTCCCTCGTTGCGCGTCTTCCAGTCCTTGTCGGACATTTCCTTCAGCAGAGCCTCTGTGATTTGCGGGGCAATGTCAACGCGCGGCAGAAGATCAGCCATGTTAATGGGCTCTTCATCGCCGGCTGCCCCTTCATCGTCGTCTTCGTTGTCCGGGGAAGTACCACCGCTGCTCCGCTGAACTCCCCTCACCGGCTTGGGTGGTTTCTCGCCCACATTCTTGTCAAACTCCACTTGGATCTGGGATTTTAGCGCAGGCTTCTCGCTGTCGAAGAACATCATCAGCGCATTGCCCATATACATGGACATGGTTCCCACGAGCTGAATGGCAGCGGCACGAACCGTTGGGTTTGTGCTCTGCACGCCCTTTCGCACATCCTCGATGAGCGTCTTTGGCTGCAACTGGAAGCCGAACTCTGTGATGGCTTTGCCCACCCAGTTGAAGGCCTCCGACTGAACTTTTGGCGACTTTTGCTCGAAGGCAAAGCTCAGCACTTTGCCCACAATGTACTCGAGTTTGGTGGCTTCTGCAAAGGCGGTCAAAACATCGGCAGCTGCTGCTCCATTCTTGGCATCGGCCAGCTTCTCTGTAATTTCATTCACAACCAGATCGACGGTCGTCGTGGTCAGCGGATAGTTCTCGGCCACACTGCGAATGATGTCCAGCTTGATCTTGAGCACCTGGAAATTCATTTCCTTGAGGCCCGGCTTGCGTCCGCTGATTGTGCGGATGAGGATCTGTGAAATGTCCGCCTGTTTGGCATCGAAGCCGGTGATTTCGCCCTGCAGCTGCTCCACGGCAGCCAGGCGGTTCTTCCAATTGGAGTCCACTAATCCATTGAGTATGTCGGCTGGCAGAATTTCCTCGGACCTTTCCTGCAAATCCTCGGGTGTTAGTTCCCTTTCCGTGGCCAGGGCTTTTCCGGTTGCCTTTGCGGCTGCCGCCGGGGCAGATGCACCGCCGCCAACAGCTCCAGCCGCAGGTTTCTTGAGCACCTTTCGTGCTCCTGTAGTCGCCGGTCGGGTAACTGGCTTGGGCTCCACACTGCCCGCCGTGGCCTTGGCCGGAGCAGCTGCTTTGGCAGCTGGAGCTGATGCAGGTCTTGCCTCCTTCTTGGGACCAGCAACCTTTATCTTGATCTCCGCCTTGTCGTGACACTCCTTGATCTTCGCCATCTTCAAGGGATCCACGTCGGCGAGCAGCGGAGTCACCGCCTTCTCGCCCATTAGCTTCATCAGCGTGCCCAGAGCTTCGGCGCTGCTGTCGCGAACCGTGGGATCCGGTTCGTTGAGGGTCTTAACCAAACTGGTGGCCAGCAGCTTGAGCAGCTTCTTGTTTAGCGCCGCTGGCTGAGTGCGGGTCAGGGCGCGAGCCAAAAACAAGGCCGTTTCGGACTTAACACTTGGATTCTTATTGGCCAGCGACTCCGACAATCGACTCTTGCTGGGCCTCCAGCGAAGTGGAGCCGTAGATGGCATCGATGGCCTCGCGCAAAGCGGTCACAACATTGGGTTTCTTCTCCTTGAATTTCTCCAAAAGAGATGGGACACAGGCCTTTAATAAAAGAAGATATATTATTAGGGATAAAGCTGGTAAAAATCAGGATTTATAAAATAACTTACCGATGCGTAGTTTGAGAACCGCTTAGCCAATCCCTTGGCCAGCAGTGCCAGACATTTGCCGGCCATCGCCACTAGGACCACATTGGAGTCCTTGGTAATCACCTTCTTGAGGGCGCTCACCAGTGCTCCATACTCGCCGTTCTCCAGCTTGGGATTGTCGGTGAGCAGCTTCTCCAGGACCTCCAGCGATTCCTTACGCAGCGTCCACTTCTTTTCTTCTAACTTGTCGTAAAAGTCCTTGGGCATTTTGGAGAGTATGTCAACGGGATCGAGTAGATCAATGGGATCGATTTCCTCGGCCCCAGCCTCGCCATCTTCTTCTGCGGGAAAAGGAGAAATAGAAATGAATAGTGGTTACATTAAGGAGTGAGTGTCTCCTTACCATTATAGGCATCTTCGACAGCAGCTGCATCGGCTATCTTGGCTTGCTTTTCCTGCTGGGATTTCAGATATCTAGAGGGCTCGGCCCGTTCGCCCTTGAGCTTCTCGAACTCATCCTCCAGCTCCTTGAGCGTCACCTGTGGCAGCGCCGAGATCTGCGGCTTCATGGCGGCTCCGATCCAGCGGTATATCTCCACGGCCAGCTGCTTGCCCTCATCTCGAACAGCCTTGTCGCGATCCGACATCAGTGGGGCGAGCTTCTTGATCAGCGGCTTGACGCCGATCACCTTGTGACCGAATTCCCGGAGCGCCAAGGTGGTGGCTGCCACGCAGGCGGACACAATCTTGGGGTTCTTGGCCTCCATGCCCTTGACCAGCTCCTCGACGACGGCCTCCTGCTTCTCGATCTCCACATACATCAAGGCCACCTGAACGGAGAGCTCCTTGGTCTTTGTCTTTGGGGCGGCAATGCATTTCTGGACAATGCCGGTCATCACATCGCCCACTGTGCGTCCGGCCAGCCCACTGTTCTCCACAAAGATCAGGGCCGCCTCCAGACCCTTCTCCTGGGCCATGGCATTCGAGTCGACGACCATCTTCTTGATGAGCCCGGCGAACTTGGACCATTCCGGCGACTTCTCGTCGTCCAGGTCGCGGAAGAGCTTGGCCGCCTCCTCGTAGCCATCGACGCGGGCCTTCCACAGCTTGTGGACACACCGCTCCTCCACCGGCAGCTTCTTGTACTCCGTATCCTCGGCCATGCTGCTGCTCCGGATGCTACTCAATTCGTTCTGAGCAGCGGATTCTTCTCAGTGGTCTGCTCGGTTCAGGTCTCAACCAACATTCTAGGGCAAAAAACAAGGAAAAAAATATTATATAAAAATCAAAAGAAGAACAAATCAACTGGAATTTCTCTCTACACAGAAAAAAAATGGTAATGGTCAATTTGATATTTTTCAAAGATCAAGTATTCATATCGTTTTGATATTTTGATTTCATTATTTGCTCAAAAAATACTACATTTGGTATTTTTATGATCTGATAAAATATCATGTTGATATGTTTGAATCTTAAATTTTACATTTATTGATATGAAATAAGGTAGAAATAACCCTATTTCATTTCGTCTTTTTTTTCTGTGTACGAAACATCAATGGAGCGGAACTATTCTGGTTGTCAGGAGCCATCAAGCTAATGTTTCAAAATTGAGCTTAATCGTGGATGAAATGAAATGAGAATGCCGGAGGCCAAGGAATCGGAAGAATCTATCCGTTCCGCTCGAGAGGCGGCAAAAATTAAATGGGTCGGCCATATTTAGATTCGTCTAAGTGCAGTTATTTGGCAAATAGAAATAGAAATAGGAGCGTGCGAATTTGGTTTTTCTGAAAAGGTTTTTCTTCGGGCTTGTCGCAAAGGATGGTGATATCATATTGCGGAATAGAGCGCTTTATTCAGACAATAAATCAGGGGCAGGGCAACCCCACCCCTTTACCACCCCACCCACCGAAGGTGACACACACACACGCAAGACAACAGAGTGATTCAGTAGTATTATTATATTATTATTCATACCCCCCTGACTTTATTCCTAACTCCGCCCCTGTGGTAACATAACTGTGCTCCAGTTCCAGTAGAGCATTCCAATAGTCGGCTATGCCCGCTCTTCCTCTCTAATTCCAAGCTCTCACGCACACCGACGCTCTCCATTTCGAATTAACGGATCGCTTTGGATCGCAGGCAACAACAAATGTTTCTCCTGCGGGGCTGTGCGTCGGGAAAATGCCGTCGTTTACCGTTCCAGCCCACCGCTAATTGCCATTTGGACTATTAATTTCCAGTGGCTGCAACTTGAGAGGTGCATCTGCACCAGATTTCGCCCATTTTGGCGACAAACAAAAAGCGACGCCCTGGAGAGAAATTCCAATGCAACCTATTGCATTCCGGCACACACACAAAGCACACACTCACCATCAGAATGGGGATAAGATCCGAGTGACGCCTTGCAGCGGGGGGCGTGGCGGGGGCGGACAGCTGGCCAGGGGCAGCGGTTTTTAGAGGGCTGCGCAATGCAATAACTTCGATTTTTCGCAGGCGACACACCAACACTCACACACGGCACAACACTCAGGCACACGCACACAAAAGCGACAAAGGCACACCGACGAGCTCACTTTTTCTCGGCTGCTTAGTAGTGCAGCAACAATAAAATAATAAACAATAACTTAACTAGGTTCTAAGCACTTTGAGGGGCACTTTTGTGCAGCGGAATTCACTTTGGTCTCGCGTGATGTAAATAAATAAGAATTTTTGCGTTCTTCGCAAGCGTCGTTGCGCGCCAGCAGTGTGGCTGTATAGGTTGGAAATACCTTGCGGCCCTAGGAAATGAACTTTAAATACTAGTTTTATTTAAACGAATATACCATACAATACGGTCTCACTAAAATTGGAGGTTTAAGACACCGCTGTAGCCATGACACCTACCAAAAAGTTAGAATTCAAAAATAACAGGGACCGTAAATAATCATTATTTGAGATTTTTTATTTTAAAAAGATACTGTGATATTTTGTTTTAAACGTCAAGAATAACGTTCTTTTTACTCTTGTCCACAAAGTATATGTTTCAACAAATCTGGAAAGCAAATGAACTGTTATTTGTTATGTTTAAAAATGTGCATAAAAGCCAGTTAAATTGTTGATTAAAACTTGTAAAACCTGTGGCTTTTAAAATAAAAATCTCAAATAATGATTATTTACGGTCCCTGAAAAATAACAAATTTCCAATTTTAAATTAAACAAAATAAGATATGTATAATTCTTATATAGCATTTATTGGCCCACCGCCGCTGTCAACGCGCGTGATCTCCAGCAGGTGAATGGTGTGTCCGCCCATGAACTCCAGCACATCCACGCCCGACTCCTTGCCAATCTCGTCCATGCTGATGGGCAGCGCCTGCAGCTTCCACTTCTTGAGCAGCGCCTCGATGGACCAGTCGGCGCTGCGCTCCTGGTAGGTGAATATGAACTTGGCGCCCGCGTTTCGCTCCAGCAGAAAGGCCACCGTGACCACGATGTCCTCAAAGACGCTGGGATCGTAGAAGCAGTCGGCGGCGATGATGAGGTCCAGTGGCGGCAGCCGGAACACGCTATTTAGCAGAAGGCCCCAACTGAGGCCCACCACATCGATATCCACGCCCGGCTGCAGCTGATTGGCCAGGCAGGACTTGCGGATGTGGGCCAGCGACTTGGGCAGGATGCAGTTGTCGGTCAGGACCACCTGGGCGCGGCACTTGGCGGCCAGGATGCCGGGCAGAGCGGTTCCACTGCCCAGCTCAAGGATCCGCTTCCCCGCCAGCGTTTGTCGACGTTCCCACAGAAAGTGGGCGAGCACTGGGGCGCAGGGCCACGTGTAGAAGGAGTAGGCTCCCTGGAGTAGCTAATTTTGGGGATTTTCAAAGGATTAGTTGCTGCGGAAACACCTGGTTTAAGAACTCACCTCGGGTATCTTGATCTCCAGTCGCTCGGCGGGCGAACCGCTGAATACGAACTTGCGGATGTGCTCGGCGGTGGCTGTGGCCGCCACAATGTCGTTGTCCTCGCTGCCGCTCTTCATGTGGAAACGCATTTTAACTCGGGCATGCAGGAGTAGTTCTAAATTTTTACTAAACTGTTGCTATTTTTCAGTGTTTTGTTTACAACCTGTTTGATTAGCGATGATAGTGCCGTAGCTATACAAGTATCGATAACGCTAGGGGTGGGCGACAAATACTGTGACTAAGAAACGAAGGTGTGACTAATAGTGATTTTTTCATTTAACTAGTAATCTGATAAAAGATTTTTCTTAATAAGCTCTGAAAAAGTTTTCTATTAAACGAAACTTTGTATTTATGAATCAAATCTTAATCTTAAATAGTTTTTAAACATATGATTTTTAAGTATTCTTCGTTTATTATAACAGGCGGTCGAAAAAAGTTATTATAATCTAAAAACCGTTTATATTAATCGTTTATTATTTTGACACAAAATTCAAGATCATTAGAGGTCCAATTATTCAGGTCTATAGAAATGGTTTGAATAAAAACTGCCTGGTGAACGCACCCAGAAATGAAATACATTCGTGACCGCAGGTGCTGGTGACCGCGCAACAAGTGCTTGCGACCTGAACTATCGCCCATCCCTAGCGCTCATTTTAAAGTTTTGATTTTGCGATGGAGGGATTCCTATTCTCGGCGGAGGAAAGTGCTGCGTAAATACATATAACACAAAAAGAAACCCGAAAAGATGCGCTCCTGGGGAGACTGGGAGTGGTGCGGCAAGTTGGGCCAGGGCGGATTCGGCGAGGTGGTCCACTGGCGCAACCGCCGCACAGGCCGTGAAATCGGTGAGCTATAAACAGCTTTTCTGGTCCCACACCAACTTCCATAGACCCATACAAGCATAAAGGGAAATGGTTTTCCTAGAATTCTGGCTGATGCAAGCGGCTCTCCCGGCGCTGCACTGATAAAGCGGCTAAAACCGCGCATGTGAGACCCGCTGAGTCAGCCGAAAGCCCTTCTCTGCGTCGCAGATACTGAAATTGTTTATTTATCTTCCCTTTTTTTTTAGCCACCAAGCACATTATAGATCTGAAATCCCTGACCGCCGATCAGCAAGTGAAGCTCAGTGAGCGCTGGAACAAGGAATTCGAGTGGGCCCGCCGGTTTCAGGACTTTCCGCACATTGTGGCCGGCGTGATTTTGGACCAGGAGGATGCGGGCTACCTGGACTACCTGAATGCCAGGCACATGGCCAAGTTGCCGGTGATTATGCTGGAATACTGCAATGGCGGCGATGTGCGGAGGCGTCTGCAGAGTCCCGAGAATGTCAATGGACTGGTGGAGTTCGAGGTGCGGCAGATCCTAGGAGCTCTACGCAAAGCCCTTCACTTTCTGCACACCGAGTGCCGCATTTGCCATCGCGATCTGAAGCCGGATAATATAGTTATCCAGCGGGGAGCCGATGGCAAGAAGGTCTACAAGCTGACCGACTTTGGACTGGCTCGCCTGGCTCCGGAAAAGACCATGGTGCAGAGCGTGGTGGGCACGCGGCACTACTTCGCCCCCGAGGTGGTGGAGTCGGGCAAGTACAACTCGGCCGTGGACTACTGGTCGCTGGGCATCATCGCCTACGAGCTGGCCACCGGCGAGCTGCCCTTTATCCCCCACCAAACGCCCACAACCATACTGATCAACCTGCTGAACAAGCCCCTCGAATGCATTGCCATCTCGGAGGATCCGGAGAGCAAGGGACGGTTTGTTAACCAATTCCAGCTGCCGCAGGAGCACCATTTGTCGCGTCCCTTTGCCGAGGAGTTCACCAAGTGGCTGCGCCTCCCGCTGACCACCGACTACAGGCAGCGCGGTCAGCGCATCGCAGCAGCTGATGAAGTACAATCAGTTTCACTCGTCTTCGCGGAGCTCGACAGGCTGCTCGCCATGAAGGTGCTCACCATTTTCGCTGTCAACTGCTCCAAGCGATTGGAGTATGTGGTTTCAGCGGAAATGACCATGCAGGATCTGATTCGGTTGATTGTCGGGGACACGGGAATGAAGGGCACCGAGCTGTATTGCGTGCTGCCCACTTTGCATCCCCACAAGCAGATGAAGCCTCAGACGAAGCCCCTGGATCTCTATGTGGAGGAGTGGAGCGATACGAGCAAGGACTCGCGCAAGTGGGCCAAGCGCAGCAATCCGCCCGTCATGCTGTACGTCTTTCAGGGCAAGGAGGAGTGCGACTACAGCGCACCCGAGCCCAGTCTCTCGGTTCTGGCCCGCAAGTTCATGTCCAACAAGATTGCCTCGGAGGAGAGGTGGCTGCTCAAGCGGGTGGCCAAGGACCTGCTGCACGTGCTCACCAAGGAGCAGGAGAACCACGAAATGTTTCTGTCGGGTGTTAATGAACATGCGCTGTCTTTGGAGGACGAAATGGTGGCCAATCCGTTTATAGACAAGATAAACGAGGAGCTTCTAACCACCAAGTTTGCCCACGATCAGTTGATGAAGCTGCGAGCATCAGCACAAGTGGTAGAAATGTGCAGTCTTTTAGTGGTTCTCTAGTAATTAGTAATTGCTTTCAGATCGCAGACGACCCAGAGTGGCAGAAGCTCACGCAGAAATATGAAACCATCATAGAGCACACCAAAAAGATAAAGGCTCACTTCGAAGCCAACTTGCGCGGGGCCCAGGGAATGGTTAAGAGCACCAATCAACTGCTAAAGGATCTTGGCGAAAGAGATTTATTCGATGCGTAAGGCAATTATGACCAATTATGTTGCAGATCCTTATATTTTATATATTTTAGCACTCGATTCTACAAGCAATACCTGGGCAATGGAGGCATCATTTCGCCGGTTGAGTTGAAGAAAGCTGCTACTGAGTTCGCCAAAACGCGTTCGCAGCTACAAACCAAGGGCGAGGTTAAGACGCTGTCCAAGGCCATCGATAAGCTGCACTTTTACTTCTTTAAGAGCAAGGAGCCCGTCCCGCTGCTCCTAAGCACATTTATCGACATCAAGAGGGAGATATTCGAGATGCATTTGAAGATGCTGAGCCCGATTTCCGTCGCTCCACCTCCGATGCTCCAGCTGAGCGATGCGATGGACCGCCTGACCATGAGCTCTGGAATAGCCAGCTCGGATCCCTTTGACTCTCTAGGCACGATCAGTGTCATCGACGAGGCGGAAAGGATCAACAGCATGTGAGTGCATGTTGGAAAGCGTTTTTTAACCATTTCTTCTAATGAATTGTCTTTTATTTTTTGTCAGGCTTCTTCGTGAAATGGAAGTTGATCCTGCTTAACCATAGAAGCCACACATATCGTATCACAATGTGCCCATTCGAAATCATAGAAATATTTCGATTTTATTTTTGTTATCCCAATACCCAATTGGTAATTTATATAGCTTTAAAGGTTTCACAGAAACTTTAGTGCCGGTTTCTCATCTCAGAACGTTTTGTATTTTGTTCAGTGATAATGCTTTTGTTTTCTGCGTGTTCGCATTCATATTAAACAAGAATAAATGTTTGAAATGGCAGTTTTATTTGTATTTTTGTTTACATACGCTGATTGAATTTCAAACTGGCGTGAAATGGTAAACTTACCAGATGGCTGTATAACTAATGTTTATAAATTCTTTCTTTGTGGAGGTTTTTTATATTATTACAATTCACCACATATATATACTTTTTTAGCAATTGTTTTCTATTGGTTAAAATACTTCAAGGTATATGGTATATATACAAGTCGGCTTGATTTACGACTAAACAGCTGTATATAGCTTGGCTTGGTCAATTGAAATGAAACTTGCTGAGGATTGCAATGTCACGGAAAATTGCACATGCGGCAGAACAGAGAATTAGTCAACTTCTGGCCATGCCAGAAGTGGCTATAAAAGCGATTCCAGCAGCTTGGCAGCCACCACAAGCCGAGAACCGGTGGCCAGTGTCAGAACCTCAGGAGATCGCAAAATAAACACGGAATGAATTGCATTTGGTTGACGTTTTTGGTGCTGCTCCTGGGAGCAGTGATGCAGATGGAGGCCAAGCCTCCGGCCAAGAAGCCGGCGCAACTGCGTGAGTAGAAAAGAAAACTTATTTAATTTTGAATAATTAAATGGGGTATTAATGTTGTATTACTTTCAGCAACTTTTCTCAAGGTCTGCCATCGCGATTCACCTGATTTAAATACCTGTGCCAGGGAATCCTATGAAGCACTGCGTCCGAAATTAATGGAGGGCATTCCCGAGCTGTATATTCCCTCAATGGAGCCGCTGATTGTTCCCCAGGTAAAGATGGATCAGGACTCCGGCGCCATCTACCTGCACTCCGTGTACCGAAACGTCAAGGTCACTGGCATCTCGAAGCACACGGTGAACGAGCTGCGCTTGGAGCCCTCGAAAGCTGAAGTTCATTGTGTCGCTGACCTTCCCCAAGCTGCACTTGGAATCGGACTACAGCATTAAGGTCAGTAAGAAAGAAAAATCGGGAATAACTTGACTACTACTATTCTGCTAAATCAGGGAAAAATCATGATGATGCCGCTTCTGGGCGATGGCCACTGCAAGGTGGATCTGGGTGAGTTAGATGACTAATTAATATTATTTTAGATTTTTAAATAACCGTATTATCCCCCAGTAAACATCACCATGCGCACGGAGCTGATTGGCCAGGAGTACAAGAAGAATGGGGCCAACTATCTGAAGATCAACAACGTGAAGGTCAAGTACGAGCTATCCGATGTGCACATCCATCTGGACAACCTGTTCAACGGGGACAAGGCCTTGGGCGATCGCATGAACGAGTTCCTCAACGAGAACTGGAAGGCTCTGGCCGAGGAAGTGCGTCCCTTGATGACCAAGGCCCTGGTGGACATTCTGAGGGCCTCCGTGGACAAACTGTTTGCCTCATTCAGCTACGATGATCTGCTGCCCAAGGGAGTGTACTAATATGGATATTTTACAATCCTAATGATTTAATCGTAGTACAAAACATTAGCCTAAAAAATAAGCACACAGTTTAAAAGCAAAATAAATTATGAATATAATACATAAACGGCGGATAAACGGCGACCATTAAACCAGCCAAAGTTTGGTGGGCATCTTGGAGAAGACGTTGTTCCAGAGGCCGTGGAAGATGTCGGCCAATCCGAGTTCCAAGTCTGGACGCAGTTCTGCTATCACCTCCTTGCCGTTCTGATTGAGGAAGGAGTTGATTGAGGCCGCCAGGATGTCGTTGCCATTGAACAGATTCTTCAGGTGGATTCGCATGGCGCCCACGTCGAAGCCCACCTTCATTTCATCGATGTGGATGATCTCGTCGCCCGTCCGCGTCTCATTCCGCAGGGAGATCCTCGTGTACACCGTCGTGTGCACATTCTTCAATGCCATGGCCACGTCTCCACTGCCGATGAGGGGCAGCAGCAGGATATTTCCCTTCAGATTGTACTTGGCCCGGATTCTCAGCCTAGGCAGCTCCAGCTCGAAGTTGAGCAGTCGTCGATTTAGATCCAAGCTTTAGTATACAAATTAATAGTTTATTCATGTTATAAACAGTTTAATCATAATATTTAATAAAAAAGGTAACGGAAATATGTTTAATATTTATTTCTTTATATTTTAATATTTAATAACCATTTACCTTGCCCTTCGCACAGTTGCGTTGGAGGGTCCACGGATGACCAGGTCTTGAAATCCTCCGGATAGCACCAGGTTGCCACTGCCCTTTGGACACCGATACCTGGTCAATATTCAATGGCTCAAAGCTCTTCACCCCGATCTCGGGAATTCCAGCTGCCAGAGCGGGAAAACATCCTTCGAAGAGCTGTCGAAAGCAACTATCCTCATTTGGATTGGATCGTTTGCACGTCTGTAGCCATGAAGCTGGGATATACAAAATATGTTTAGGAAAATTTCTTTTTTTAGAAATATTTATTTACAAAAAAATATTTTAAAACAAAGAGATATACGCGAGTATCTTTCGAACAACAAAATGTATGGTTTCATTGAAAAGGTAGCTTAAACAGGTATAAAATGTTTGTAATTTATAAAATTGCATTTAAAACTTTTCTTTAACTATGCACATAATAAAGTAACCTTTTTTTTACCGATTTTAGGAACGAAAATGTACTTAAGCAAATATTAAATTTAAGATATTTAAAATAATTTAAAAAATGCATTTTAAAATGGGATGGAAACGTTTCGAACTATTTAAATTTATTTAAAACTATTCCATAACTATTCACATTTTTAAATAAATCCTTTTACAGAAGGAAATTTTTAAGATTTCTGTGGTAGGGTTTTTTAAAAAAAAGTAAATGATTTTTTAAATAATTAAATTTGATAATCATAAAAACACACAACACATTTTTAAGGAACTCAAGCTCTTTATAGGCCCCATTAGTTAACGTCACTTACGTCTCTCCTGCAACGGCAACTTATCGTTAACAATTTCGCGAGTATACGCCCCGTGGACTTGAGTCGGGCAAACCGAAAAGATAACGGCCAAACTAATGGCCAACTTCCAGCATGTTGGGTTGAACATGTTTAAAGCAAAACGAAACCACAGCGACACGGGTATCCTTATGTCAACACTTGAATTTTGGGGGCTTTGAATCCGTTATCCGTTGCACGCGACCGTTAGCGACGATGGCTCGAGACCAAGTGCCGGGATAGCCGAGAGAAAAGTCGGACGAAACCATCGAAGGCCATGACAACAGTTGTCTGTTTTTTACTGCCAGTTTTACATACTCTTTTTGCCCGCACTGACGTTACGAATTCCGCAATTTCATACCCGTTTGCCAAATTACCACTGGAAAAATATAGACAAAATCAGTTTATAATACAATGCACTTTCTAGGGATCTTAGGATTTTAGGTTTCAGAAAGAATTATTTTTTAAATTTATTTTGAATTATATTTAAAAACATTTTAATTTTCAAACCAAAATATTTTTGAAGAATTTTATTATTTGTGTATATACATAATGTGTTATATTTACAATAAAATCTAAAATCAGTAATAAAACTAATTTAACTAAGTAATTAAAAAATACCATAAAAAAAAAGTAGAGAATAGAAAGGTATTTTTTGATAGTTAATGACCAAAATGTGAATAATTTCATTTATATAAGCTTTTCAACTCGTTTTGTTTTATCGCTATCGCTGTTCATAATTACTACTGGTACTATAGCAACTTTCCCAAGAGTAGTGCATGAAGCTAAACCACTTGACCGAATATTTGTAATGTTTTATTTGTTGTATTGATATTTGGACTTGTAAGTTGCTTGTACGTCGAAATTTACTTTCGTTTGGCGCGTAAACGCCACCGATTCCCAGCTTGTTGTTTATGTTTATGAACGTTGCGCCACTCACACGCCACAAAAACCGAAAAAAAGCCACCCAACTCGTCCCCCTGGCCTGCTTCCAGTTCCACCGAAGTTCCCGCCGAAGTTGTTCACCTGTTCACCCGACTACTTCTGGTATTACGCAGACTTGGCTCCGGAGAGTTTGTAGTTTGTTGTCTGTTGTCTGCCGTCTGGGATTGTCTGCGCTGCCTTGCCCCTTCATTGTCACGGGTGTTGTCCGGTTTTCTGTTTGTTCGTGCTCCAATGCCTCGGGCCACAGAGGCTTCCCCAAGCCCCCACCAACCCCCTTTTTCGGCGCCTGTCGCGTGCACTCTGCGTTGCAAGTTTGTGTTACGCAGTCTCCCCAATTATCATTTGGCCTGGAGGTGGTCGAGTGACCGGATCGTGAGGGATCCAATAATATTCCGTTTTTTAAGCCTGTAAAAAAGATACGATACTTCGAAAACTACTTTATAAATATTCTTTTCCCCTTAAATAGTTTTGAGAGTTATAGAAAACTTTTTTAAAAAATTTCTTTAAACTTAAAAGTATATAAAAACATACTTTTAAACCTCTTAAAGATTGTGAGAGATTTTTATAATATTTTTCTAAAGTTGTTAAACATGTGTAGATAACTTGTAGATATATGGTAGATAACCCACTTATTCTCCAACTTGAAATTACATTAAATATAAATTTAATTAGTTTAATTTTTTTTACTTTTTTCTGAAGTTGTTAAACTTGTGTAGATAACTTGTAGATAGCTGGTAAGTAACTTATACTCTAACTTGAAACTTCACTTAATAATAGTTTAATTAAATATTTATAACTTCTTAATGATTTTTAAAAAATGTAGCTCCCATGAGAAAGAAAAAAAATATCATCTCTAAAACTCATTTGTCATTTGACAGTCACTTAATTGCCGCAGTTTTCGAAAACATGAATATGCTAATTCAACGGTTATGTGTTTATAATAATCTTTCTCCCGCCGGGGTCGACTCAATTTCAATGTTGCATGTTGCGACAACAAGCGAACATCCCAAAATATCAGCCATGTTCATCTCATTTCTCAGTTGGCCAAAAAGTCGCGTGCGGAAACTACCAAAATTGCCGGGCCTGGCAATAGTTGGCCAGTGTCTGGGGATTGCGATATCTTTAATTGTAGCTGCTTCCTCGCCAACTGGCCCATCAAACTCTAAAATCCAGCTGAAAAATCGAATCGGCAAAAGTTGTCCCACTCGTAAAGCCGGCAATTGCGCAACGTTCGGCTTGGATTATTAACAAGCACTTTATTTTCTTTTCTTTTTAAACTTTAAACGCCAAACAAACGAGTTTAATGCTCGCTATTGATTTTCTTTGTTTTTGTTTATTGGCGTTTATTTTCACACTTGCTGCTGCATTCCTCGATGCCTGGATTTCTGTTTTTGCTTGTCGAATGTCCATGGATGCCCACCCCAAAGTGATGCAATCACCAGACTTCAGCCTTTTTTCTACATTTTTTGCAATGTCATAAAAGTAAAGAAAACAAATAATTGCAGGGGCTTTCCCAGAGCTCTCGGTTAATTTTGGCCCCACCGCAATCCGAGCCTGGTCACGTGCAATTGGAGGCAAAGCCAAGAGTTCAATAGCTTCGATTGGGCTTTTTAAATGGCCAACTTGGTAGGCAGATCACGCCTCCAATTTTATCGTTTTTCACTCTAATTTAGCTTGTATTTCGGTTGCAACTATTGGCATTGACCGATTAAAAGGGCTAATAGTTTGGCACTACTTTGCCAAAACAAATATTTTTACTGTTTTCTAGTTGACTAATATTTTTTGGAAAAAAGCATACAAATTATAGCTAGCGATAGCGAACATTTCGTAAAAAGACCTTAAATATAACGGTAGTACTTGAATATAAAGAGAGTTGAAGATGTAAATGTCAGGTACAATTTATGATCATTGGTTTGAGGCTGCGCTAAGCCCAGCTTAAAACTATACACCACCTTTTTTACTGGATTTAAGCGCAGCCCAAAGCTTAAATAAACGGCATACTGGGAAAAATATTATCAAGATATAAAAGTTTATTTTTTTTAACATTTTAAGTTGCATTTTTTAAATTGAATTAATTAATGAATTTAGCTTGAGACAAAAAATAGAATATGTTGAAGGTGCCATCGTCACTGTTTTTTAAACTCTTGAACTCTTTTTTTACTTGATAAAGAATGAGTAAAAATTCATATTAATATTTCTTGTGTTTTTTAAACCCAGAAAAGAGTAGAATTCGACTTGAATTATGTTGTAATACAATCTTTATTTAGCGTTGATATTTAAGACCACAGTTATAATAATACTATACTACTAAGTACGATTACGGCTAAATGTTCTATGAAAGGGTGGGTGGGGAGTGCAAAGTGCACGTAGAATATTTAAGCTAGTCGAACGCGTGCTATGATAAGGACCTAAATGGAACTACATTATAAACGAAGCGATTAACGATATCTGTACACACATATATAATAAACTCCATGGATAAGCACAAACATATAGACGTAGATTTGTACAACGAGAATTGCTATAAGTTATTTACAAGATCATAAAAACTATGTGTTCTTAAGCTAGAAACTCCCCGTTTGCGATTCGAATTTTGAATTTAGATTAAGCAAAATCTTAGTTGGTTAAATTAATCTTTTTCGGAAATTGCGTTTTAGAAAAGGGGAATTTAAACAACTATGATTAGGATAAAATGAATTAAAATGGAATCCGGCAAACGGGGCTGAATAGGACTAAAGGTAAATAGGTCTAAAGTCTTTTCAATGCCACGATTTGGGGTGCAGTTGGTGAGGAGGAGGCGGAGGAGGGAGATCACATCACAGAACCAGAGCCAGGTTTAGCCTTACGAGGTGGCCATCAGCTTGGCCGCCTGGATGACGTTGTGCTGGTGATGATAGCCGGCCAGCTCACTGGCCGCTCCTCCCGCCATGGCCGCCGTGGATGCCGCCCCTCCCAGCGCCCCAAAGGTTCCCCCAAAATAGCAGTTGTTTACATAGTCGTAGTTGGTGGCACTCGCCTCCGTTTTCACCCCATAAGCAGCAGCTGCGGCGGCCGCGTGCAGATGATGATGGGCCGCCGCCGCTGTCACATGATGACCATGGGATCCGCCCAGGTGATGGTGGTGGTGCTGGTAGTGGGGCGACGGAGTGCCATTGCTCAGCGTGGGCGTTTCCACGCTGTGCGCCGTGTAGGCGGACGCACTGCCTCCTCCGACCGACGCACTGCTGCCGCCGCCGGGCATGTAGAGCTGCGATCCTGCTGCCGCTCCATGCAGCTGACGGGCACTCAACTGGGACTGACCGGAGGTGGGGGTGACCATGCCGTGACCATGTTGCTGACCATGCTGCTGCTGCGTCGTCGCCTGTCCGTAGAGGGGAAAGCATTGCTGGTGCGCCGCCTGCTGTTGCTGCTGCTGTTGTTGCTGCTGCTGCTGTTGCTGTTGCTGCTGCTGCTGGGCGCTGTGGTGTCCCATCAGCGTACTGCTACTGCTGGCGCTGCTCTTCAGGTCCGCATGTAGTTTACCAAGGCCATGGCGCTCCAGGCTAAGCGAGGGCTTGAGATCTGTAGAGGGAAAACATGAGATTAGAATCTTGGAAAATCTAAAATTAATATAGCACCCAAAACCTAAATGTCCTACAACTTTGTAAAAATGTCCTAAAAATTTGATTTATTATTTTAAAAAATAAGACTGCTCATATATAATGAGTGATGATCATATTTAGCCATAATTTAATGAGGAATCAATATTTTGTTAATTTAGCTTTAAAGATAGGTAGTTATTTCGTAAGCAAGGGTCATTTCCATTACCAATATTCATCGGTGGTTTACATTCTCAGTACTTTCCCTATTCACTTTTTTTTATTTTCTTAGTTTTTTCATTTAAATAGATTTTAAGTCTTAAATTAGAGTCCAATTATCCCTAGACTTCAATCAAAGAGTATGAATACATAGAGGGGACATGTTATGTATTCAATTTAGATATCTGATCAAAAAACCAAATCAGAAATTCAGGAGAACTAATCAAATCAAGTAAGAAAATGTAATCAACACCACTTACCGTGCTCCTCCTTGCACTCCTTGATGGCCTCCAGAGTTGAGCTCGATCCGGACCCCGCTCCTCCCGCTCCCCCTGCCGAGCCGCTGCCCGTTTTCTTGGGCTTTCGCTTCCTCGTCTGGATGCCATCCTTGCGCATGGCCAGAGGTCGGTTCACGCCGTGCAACTTGTAGTACAGCCCACAGGCATTGCAAACGGGCTCCCCGTCGTTGTTCCTTCGCCAAAGTGTCGTGGTTCGAGTGCCGCAGTTGGTGCAACACAAACCCATTCTCCGAGTGGCGGTCTATAGGAAGGGAAAATACAAATTAGCACTAGATCCCAGAGAGATTCAGGCGGGGGTGGACTACTCACTGCACTCACCAGGCGCTTGCTGGGCTTGATCAGCGGCCGGTTCATTCCGTTCATCTTGTGGTACAAACCACAGGCGTTGCACAGGTAATGCCCCGTTCCATCCCGTCGCCACAGGGGCGTTGAGATGGCGCCACAGTTGACGCACTCGCGTCCCTCGCCGAACTGAAAGTCCATGGCGCTCTCGTAGGGCGAGTTGCGCTGGAACCCCGAAGGATCGTAGGCACTGCGCCAGGAGCCCATCATCACGGCCGCATTGGGTGAATAAAATTGCGCCGGCAGTTGCGCATGCGCCGATCCAAAGCTATCGGTGGTCCAGGCATTCTGGGCAGCAGCGCTGCCAAAATGCGCCGCCACATGGTTGTACTGGCGATTGGAGGGCACATAGACGGGGGCATTCACGGCCTGCTGGTGATAGCCGGACACCCCGACTCCCACTCCTGCGCTGGCCGCACTCCCGGCGGCAGCCAGGTCCGTGTAGGCCGCCACGGCGCTGCTGTGGTACATCTTTACGGCGGCCGCGTGCGAGGCTGAAGCGGATGCGGATGCGGATGCAGAGGCAACCGGCAGCGTCACGTTCTGGTGGTCGCCGCTGAAATGCGGATAGTCGCGTGTCGACAGTTGATCCGATGTGGACTGTAAGTAGAAGAAGGAATACTCATTAGTTAAGGGTTAAAAAAAATAAAAAATCTTAAATATAAAAAGAAGTATTTAAAGCAGGGACCGTAAATAATCATTATTTGAGATTTTTATTTTAAAAGACTACTGTGATATTTTGTTTTAAACGTCAAAATAACGTTCTATTTACTCTTGTCCAAAGTATATGCATTTCACAAATCTGGAAAGCAATTAACTGTTATTTGTTCATGTCTATAAAGTGCATAAAAACCGTTAAATTGTTTTATTTAAAAACCTCTGGCCTTTTAAAATAAAAATCTAAAATAATTTTTTGGCCCTGATTTAAAGTTAAATTTAAGGTAGAAAAATAAATTCACATTTGTAAGACGGTATTAAAAAGTAAGATCTTAAATAAAATTAAAAGTATTTAAAGTTGTACTTATGAATTAACATTAAAATTTAATATATTTAATTTACTATTTTATTAAATTTATTTTCAGTCAAAATTTTTCATTTTAATTTAAATGTCTGGTTTCATACAAACTATTACTAAATTTCCGAAAACAAACAAATTTAACAGTTTTACATTTAACATTCATTTGTAGTTTAAAATTTCTTGTTAAAAAATGTGAATCTCTTTGTTTTTCGTTCTTAAATAAAATATTTTGGTGTTTTCTGGTACATGATAATCTTATATTATTCATATAATTCATTCTTATATCATTAAAAAAAAGAATACCAAAGAAAGTATATTTAGGAGAGTTGGGGATGAAATGCCTTTCTAATACTATTTTACTGTAGGACTCTTCCCAGAGGCCATCTGTCATACCATCCCATCCCTTTTAGGCTTCTTTCCCCAGCTCTCATCTCCATCTCTTTCATTCAGGGACTGCCATTGGATGCTCTGTCATTTGGGCAACTCCCCTTCTTGGGCAGCCATTTTGGATTCAACTCTGCGGCAGCTCCTGCGTCTGCCACTCTACCACCACACCCCTCCCCCGGCGGTACCCCCTCCTCCGGTTTGGAACCCGTTTTCCCGGACTGCGCCCTTTCGGTTACCAACTCTCGAGTTAATGGCGCTCTCTGCATCGTGTATCTTGGCATCCGTGAGTTTGTGCATCGGTATCTCTGGCTTCGCAGCACTTATCGGGTGCGTAGGCACTTCGATTTCAGGCCATAAAGTGTCATTTGCAGGCACTCGGTACTCAGTTTGAAATTATAAATCGAGGAAGTACGAATGTATGATTCCATAAAGAACAGATAAAGAAAGAGTTCCACTCGAAGGAGTAAAATTAATAAAAAATAATATTCTAATTAAATGTGCTCAGGTGAAAATATTTTAATCTATTAGTAATAATATTTCATATGCCATCACCAGCACAGTAAAACATAATCAAAGCATTACATTTTAAATCGAATTCCTTTTTCATTTTTACAATTGATTTTTATTTCACAAAAGATTTTCATTGTTCATTCAACATTTTTGCACCAAATGAGGGAAACATTTTCAAGTGGCGTTGGCTGTTTTCCCCCACATACACTTAAATTTTTATTCAGACCGAATTTCTGTTGTATTCCTATTTCAGAAAAGTTCAACAGCCAAAGAGAAGCCACAATAACGAAACCCGTCAGCGATCATCGAAATCTGTGCTTCACATCGATTTCAATTAAGGCGCCAATTGCATATTTTTATTTATGCGGATATATTCGAATATATTTTTAAATTGCCTTTACAGTCAGCAACAAAAAGCAAAAAAAAGAGGAGAAACATTTGACGTCTTTATCTTATCCCGCAAATTTAATTCGATGATGTATGAAATTTTTAATTTTTTCTCATTCCCGTTTGCCTCGAGGGGGCCGCAAATAAATTTAATTTGTAAACAGATGGCCACTTAAGGGGCGGGGGACTGGGAATGGCAAAGTTTGGGCAATATTCGTGGCATTAAAAGATTTTAAATTGCAGTTCAATGTAATTGCAGGCAGCCAAGTTGTTGGGCCAGAAATCGATGCAAGGCCGCCGGCATTTTGAGCAATGAATTGCATTAAAAAAAAGCTTTAAATTACATAAATAAATAAATAAAATAAACATAAATTCTAAGATTAAAATCATTTTTTACTAATAGACTGTAATTTCAACACATCAAAAAATGTGTATATTTTTTTCGTTTTGAGCTTTAATTTAAAACTACAAATGAAACTGACAAAAAATACTGCATTTGTATTAATTGATCTTTTAAATCGAGCTTTCACTTTATATTATTTTAAATGCTGTTCATCTGTACTTTTGTATTCAATAATTTAATTATAATTTATTTAAAATACCTAAAAGTATTTATAAAAAGTTATTAATCAACAAATCAAATTTTAAACAAGAAATAAAGCCATTATAAATACAAAAAAAAAGTTGTGTATTGCCAAGTTAAATCAAAATGGCATTAAATTATGGGATAATCAATCAGACTGATCGAGTGCAACGTGACGTATGAGCAATAATATTTAAGACTCAACACGCAACTGTCAAAACAAATTAAATGTGAAAGGGGGAGGGGGAAAGGGGAAGGGGAGATAGGTGAAGATCAGTGCAGCAATTTCGGCTGCAATTCCCCAAATTCCAGCGGACCATGTGAGCGGAGGCAATCAAAGAGTTGACCACGCGTGCATAATGACGTCGCTCCCCTTGGAAGATCACTCGATCAAAGGAGCGCCGAGTGCGAGATGCGATGGCGATGGCGATGGAGTTAAAGTCGGAGTGGAAGTTGCTCGACGAGATCAAAGGAGGCGGCGACCACACGAAAAATTGTCAACAAGCCGGCCGGGCAAAGGGCCCTCATCCTTTTTGAATGGGCGAACGGAAGGGATCCGAAGGGATCATGATTCATGACGTATGCTAAGCAGTGTCTTTTTTTTTTTTTTTTTTAATTATAAAAAAAAAAAATTTTTTTAAAAAAAAATATTTTTTTTAAAAAAAAAATATAAAAAAAAAAAAAAAAAAAAAAAAAAAAAAAAAAAAAAAAAAAAAAAAAAAAAAAAAAAAAAAAAAAAAAAAAAAATATAAAAAAAAAAAAAAAAAAAAAAAAAAAAAAAAAAAAAAAAAAAAAAAAAAAAAAAAAAAAAAAAAAAAAAAAAAAAAAAAAAAAAAAAAAAAAAAAAAAAAAAAAAAAAAAAAAAAAAAAAAAAAAAAAAAAAAAAAAAAAAAAAAAAAAAAAAAAAAAAAAAAAAAAAAAAAAAAAAAAAAAAAAAAAAATTTTTTTTTTTTTTTTTTTTTTTTTTTTTTTTTTTTTTTTTTATGCTAAGCCAATGTGCGAGTAAAGAAGAGGTCTTGGCGCTTTGGCGCTTATTAAAAACCGATCAGCAAAAGGGACAAGCCGCAAAATCCCCCTGGAAGAGGCGCGGAATTAAAAATTAACAGCCATAAAAAGTTTATTTCATAAAAGGGCACTTAAAAAAAAGAATTCCTAAATGTTTCAGAAATTTTTTTAAAAAATTTTCTAAATTAATGAAATCTAAAGACTAAATCTTAAAGTTCAGATACTGAAACCTTTTTCCAAACCAAATATAAATTTGATAAACCTTATAACAATACATTTTAGTGTGCGGAGAGGAAACCTATTCCTAAACCAAATATAATATTAATAAACCTTATAATAATAAATTTTTTTGAGTGTAGCAAAGAAAGGAATCAAAAGAGGATACCGATAGCTATACCTATACCACATATAACGTTAATAATTTGTCACCGCAAATGAAGGAACAAAAACAAACAGAGAAAACCACTTGAGCGGGAATGGCCGGCAAAAACAAAACAAAGGTTGAAGAGCCAGAAGCAGGATGAAGAGGAGGATCTTAAAAGGGGAGGGGGCGGGGGTCAGAGGATAAGTGGAGAACGAGGACGAGGATGAGCGGCGCTTTGAGTGTTTGTGTCTTGTTTTCTGTTTTCATCCCGCTCTCAAGCTGGCGCTCTGCCGTCAAGTGGAGGATCCTGTTTTCCACTCTCCTCTCCACTCGATCCACCTCCTCCTCCACTTGACTCATTCATTCATTGATCTTCGCTATTCCGCAGGCTCTCTCCGCGCTTTCTCCTGCCCCTCTCTTCAACCACCTAATCCTGTTCCAACTTAACTGCTTGTTTCGGTCTTTGATTTTGTTTTGGCCTAATCGCTCTCAGCCATTTAAGTTTGCCGCCTGTCAAGGCTCATTTCTTCTGGGGAAAATCATTTTACTACAACTAATAGATGCAAGGAGATTAAGGAGTTATTAAAGTCGATGCGAAACTAATTAATCTGATTAGCTTTTCTATAGTGAAAGATTGGAACAGACAGTTTAAGTACAGAAATGGATAACCAAATTTATTATATTTAACAAAATTTAAAAATTAATATGGAAGATATCAAGATTTAAACTTATAAAAAGACTAATAATTTTCATTATTCAGTTTTTATAGTCACCTAATACAGGAGAACTGAAACATATGTTATTTTTGACAATAAAATTATTAAACATCTAATATATCATTAAAGATCTGTTACAATATCATACTAAAAAGTAGTTTTTTTATGATTGAGACTCTTGATATCTTCAATTCGAGTTGGTAACCTGATAGCCCGGCCAAAAAAGAAGCTCTGGCACATGTTCGGTGACATATTTACGAGAACGTGAAAAACGTGAGGTAAACTTACATCGCCATCACTCAGCAAGATGCCCATGATTTATGGCCGAATAATTCGCGATTCGCGGCTCGTTTTAGAATGATTAATGGGCCACGCACGCAGCTCAGTTCAGTTCAAGTTGAGGTTGAGACCGATTCCGATATGATATATATAGCGGCTATAGCTATAGGCTATTGATATGAACGGTGTCGCTTGGGAAGTGTAAATAAATAATCGTATCACAAATGCATTCAGATTAATTGCAACAAGCTCCGAAATGTTTTATTGCACTTTTACACGAAGTTTGTTTATTATTTATATGGCATTTTATGGGCCTTGTTGTAAGACATTTGATTAATGTGGCCTATAAAGCGATAAATTTCGTTTTAATCCATTTACGAGCACTTAACCGATTCCGGGGCTTTTGTTTTTGGGTTTTGAAATGTTTTTCTTTTTTTTTTTTAAAGAGAGAGAGCGAGAGCACAACGATCCGACTTCCTTGAGGCGAGCAAACAAACTAAAAAACGCCTCGAAGTAAACAAAAACTTAATCCCAAATATCCAGATCCAGTTCCGAGCGTCGACGTCAACGCAGGCAGCGACTGCGGCGCCGGCAGAGGAGTCGGCGAGAAGTCAACGGCAACAACATAAAAAGTCAATTTCATCAATGGGCACTCGCTCTTCACTCCTCGCTCCCTTCCTCTCCACCGGTAATGTCACCCAATCTTCGCAAGAGAAAGAGCGAGAGGCAGTCGGCTGACAGGTAAAAATTTGTAGGTGCATTTCCAGCGGACGCCTACGTCGGCAGCGACGCCGGCAGAGGCGCTGACTCGAAAATTAGTCAATTTCATGTAAGTCTTGAAAAATGATGTGCCGCACACTTGAGCTAAGGAATTGAAGCAGGTCCAGGGGTACTGGGTACTTGAGACCCTCCGAAAACGGTAGGCACTCTACCACTCGTCCTCTCTAATCCGCTTTTCCAGACCCTAATCCCAAGTATCCTATACCCATTTTCATTTCAAATCTTACACAGAAAGAAAAGATCTTCGGGATCTTTAGTTTTGCTTATCAAAGAACTTGATAATTTGGAGTATTTAAGTTAGCTTCTATACATAAATTTAAATACTATATTTTACTGTATATTATCTCTATCTAAAACAACATTATTAAGATCTTCGGGATCTTTAGTTTGTTTATCAGAGAACTTAAAAATATGGAATACTTAAGTTTCTTAAGTTTAAAATTTAAATATTAAAACTCAAATATTCCACTTTATATTATCTCTATCTAAAACCCTATTATTTAGAAATATTTTCAGTGTCACCCTTGCTCAATATCCACTTGAAACTGATATTAATTTTCCTGCGTGTAATCAATGTAATCAGTGTAAGCAATCAGAAACCGAGGCGATATTGTGGGCACTGAAGGCCCGGCCCATTGTCAGCAGCTCATTAAATTGCCTGGGCGTGTGTCTGTCCCCGAGAAAGGATCACAGGATCTGGACAGGCTCGGATTAATTGATCGCTCAGCCATGTGTGTGTTTGTGTTTATACTGCTCTTAATGGCAGGCGATTAATTCAGATGACTCAAATTGCAACTACGTCAATGGGGGAATTACAAATAATTCGTTGGAAAGAGGAATGAGGGTTCGAAATTCCTGTAACCACAAGTAATTTAAGAGGGTTAATATGTCAGATAAGTGCGAGGCAAGAAAATATTGTAGTTTAAATAGTTGATATTAATGGAATCTTAAGAATCTTATTAATTTAAAGACAATCCATTGAATAAATCTAGAAAATTTAGGATATTCATGGAAATAAGAATCGTAATGAATTCAAGACAACCCATTTAATATTGCTAAATACTTTAAGATGTCTTTCAGTTTTGAGAAGAATTGTCAAGTTGCTACCATTAGGTTCCTAACTCGTAACCACAGCCTGGCCGACCACAAATCACTTGCCCAGAAACCGGAGACCCCAGGAGAAGTCATTAATCAAGCAATTTGCCTTAGTTTCTGGCAATCGGGCCAAAACAAGAAAAGGTTCTCGGGGTAGCGAAAAAGAGAGGGCCAGATATTCGCTCCATTAAAATGCAAAGCAAAAGTGGCTAAAAAGAGAACAAAAGGCAGTCGGTCCAAGTCCAAGGTGAGGTACGAAAGATGTCAAAACAAAAGCCGCAGGGATGGGGTTTTTCAGAGGAGCGAACGGAGCGCATATTTCAATCCGCGCTGACACATCCTGCTGCGCTAATGGACCTTAATTTGTGAACAGCTTTATATATCATGCGCCAGACCGTTAATGTGATCATCCACACGATCTGCCTGCGACTTTCGGTCCCAGTTGAAGCTCAAGTTGAAGTTGAAATTGAAGGCGGAGCTGGCGATAAAGTTTTTATGGAGCTTATCGTTCGAATGCGCGGAATGGAATGGAACTGGCACGCGCTTTCCGGGAAAGGGGAAAACTGAAAGAAAGTGCATGCGAGCCTTATTCTCAGGCCCATTGAACTATTGATAACATGCAGACAAATGATAATTGCCCTGGCTCCACTCTAATCCTTCTCCAACCCAAAAACAAAAACCAAAGAAAAACCCTTCAAATGATTTTCGGGGTCGGGGAAATGTCGCCAGAATTTTCAAAGTGGCGTCACCGCTTATCCGCCCCGCGACCAACCCCTTTCTTCGGCTTTCTCCCACCCCTCCTCCGGGGGAAACCCAATGAAGTCTTACTCTCTCGGGTACTTTGCATCTCGATGATCACAATTCCCATTGATCGTCATCATCATCGTCTTTTTCCCTCACTTGCTTGGTATATGGGATCGGGATCTCCTCTCCTCTTCTGTCTCGGCAAAGATGAAAGCGATCTTTATTGGTTTTTGTAGTGATTTTAAGTGGATTTGTGGTTCGATTCTTAATGCCGAAGTGCGCCAGGCCAGCCTCAGATTCGAAAGATCCAAAGAGTTCAGAGATTCAACCTCAACCTCCGTGGCTGCGACTGCGATGTCTCTGCGGTTATATCGTTTTTATTCAAATTTGTATGTTTATTTCTTTCTTTATGCGTAATTATGAGAGTCTTCCAGCTGTCGTCCGCCAGACGAAGACATACTTGGCCCGCGGCCGTTGAGTGTTTTAGGCAGTTTCGAGGCTTGTAATTATGGACTTTGGTTCGTCTTTAATGTCGCAAATGCATCTAGCCGAGAGGGGAAGGGGGTTCAGATGGGTTCTTTGATGGCATTTCCATCACAGGTTGGGCGATACACAACGTTCTTCAGTGGGTAGAAAGCGTTTTATGAATATTTGCAGTCGATACGATATTGCTTCTAGATATAAAGTTTATTTTTAATGAATAAAAAATAATATTAAAAAAGCACTAAGGTTTAACATTTAAAAAGGGGATATAAGGATCCAATAGAACTTGGGATTTTTTTATTTTTTTTTAAAAATAATGTGGAAAAAAGCACAAAGGTTTAACATTTAAAAAGGGGAAAATAAGGATCCAATAGAACTTGTTGTTATTTATACCACTTCTATTTTTGATTTATTTTTTTTAGTGATTTAAGTTTGATCAACTGAGTAAAGAAACTTAACGCTATAGATTTCTTTAGTTATTTTTTTAAACTAAGGAAATCTAACAAAATTCAAGGCTGTTAAGCTAGTTATCAGCGCCTTCTTATCGCTAATATAATGTACTGTAAACTGAAAATGAGTTTATATTTATTGCTTGAAAAGTTTTCAACCCAAATGGCTTAGTTATTTTCCTAGCGCCTAGTACCGATTGGGTTCGTTATCGCAAGGCCATTAGGGGTTCCCTTTAAACAACCGCTGCAGTTATCCATCAAAGTAACTCCCCGAGCTCCACTTTTCGAGGTGCCCCCTCCACTTCCCCCTGCCCGCACTCAATTCAAGGAGGCACTTGACTTAGCAACTAAAACGCAATTGAAGTGCGACGGCTACTTACAAATTCCTGAACAACACAAAAAAACGAAGAACTCAATTTGAATATGGAAAGATAAGTGAGGAACCCCCACCCCTCCCCCGCTTACTGATGATTGTTCCAATCGCTGATTTTGAGTGTGTGTCAGTTCTTAAACATCGCCGCGGATAGAGGCGCATTAATGCTTATCAACTTGCCTTCGCCAGGGAAACTGATGGCGGAAATGGTGACTTATTGCAAGTTTTTCCACTGATAATGTTTCGTTCGCTTGTGCATTTTGTTTTATAATTAATTACCAGGCTGATACGCGTATCTATGCTTAGTGGGCGCCCTCTTATGCAGGCCCTTTTATTTATTTTTAGGGCCACAGGGCGTGTGAATACGAAAGACTCAAGCAACGAACTCGAATCGAGTGTCCTTTGCGGTGAACATAGATGGCGTCTAAATTAAGCCTGTCCCCCGGTCTTTTTGATCTCTGCCGATACCGAGATACCAGGTAGGTATCCCCCATTCCTCCCCGCCCTAAAAATCATTTTGTACACTGGAAAAAAAGACACCTGATATGGGATATATCGTAATTCTATGGTAGTTTAACTTTTAAACTTCGTAAAACAGCATTTATTTTTGGGATACATTAATGTGTAGAAAAAAATACTATTTAAATTAATCATAGTTAAAAAGATTATTATCAAAAGACGTCTCGTGTTATATGATTTTATTCGATATCGTATCAAAATCATAACTAAAGTGTAAATATAATTAGATTAATCATATTTATATCTTTGTGTCCATATGTTAAACATTTTTTTTTACTAATTACAAATCTACTTTTTTTCCTGTGCAGCCGCAGTGACAAGTTTTCGGCACGCGGACCGCCAGATTCCCGGGGAATGTGCCTCGAATGTGTCTCTCGATTGGGCCCCCATACCATATCATACCATTCCCAGCCGTCGGCCCCTGACCAAAGCTTTTAAGTGTCTTGGCGTCGGCGCGGCTTATGTCTTCTCTTCTCGCTCCCTCTTGGGTGACATTTACATTTGTGAGATCGAAGAGAATCACAGAGAAATACAGAGACACAGAGAAAGAGAGAGAAACCCGAGGAATTAATTACTGTGGAAAAGTCAAGATTTAATCGCTGCTCTTGACTGTGAAAAGATGTCGCCTAATTTTTCCTAGTCTTTAATTAATTAATTATGGCCACCTAATGAAGAAAAAAGGAAAATGTGTTCGAAAGTTTTCTATTTTTATTAGCCTTTGGCGCCGGCTCGAGGCACAAATGAACTTTAAGCCTGAGAAATATCGAGATAAGGTTCAAATGCAGCCTCAATCGAAATCGGTTTTCGTTGCGGCTTTTGTGCACCACCACAGCTTCCCCAAAGACCCTCGGATAAGAGCGAAGATTATGCCTCCCTCGCGAAGGTTCCACCAGGCCCCGATTCGATAAATCCCCGTTGATATCGCCGTATCGCCATGAATAAGGCAAGCTTATCGGGCTGACTCTTTGTATTCAGGCTAAAAATTATACCATATATGATTTATGTGGCAATGTGATAGGAATTTAATCTCGCGCC